ACACACGCAAGACTACACAGAAACAGAGACACCAACTTATGTGGGCAAATAAATCCGAAAGAACATCCACATTGTAAGACGAGAGAAACCACTTAAGTAGTAGTAGGTATTTGATTACTAGTAATTTACGATAAGTTACTACGATTGAACTCGGGGTGACTAGTAAAACTCGTAAAAAGAAAGTCGGTGATGGAATGACGGGAAGATGCTCGTGGTGACTAGGAGTCTACTCACAATTAGAATCACAAGAGTCGAGACCAGTACGAGTTAACCCTGACTGGCTCAAGGGTGACACTCTAGTGTGCTAATAGGGGTCGTGATCGGACCAGGGAGGTCGCCCTGTCTCTCCTTTCTCCTCTCCCTCTCCTCATCCCTTGCTCGCGGTCTTCTTCTCACTTCGTCGAGGTAACTCTCCTTATCCGTCGAGAGACTCCTCCCTACGGTACTAGTAACGCCGTCAATGATGGTGAATAATACCTTGTAGGACATGCCGACCTAACTAAAAGGGTTGGTAAGTGTTTTACAGTATATCACTTCTACCTCGTTATTCCATCTTTCGCGGAGACGCCGACCGATGTCGACCTTCAAATGTGCGGGGGCCCACGACTCGACGTCTTGCCAGGATCGAGCCGTTAAGCTTACATTTTCGGAGGTATATCAACCCTATTCCTCGCCTCTTCAACCTTTTCTTGCTCTATCGGCCCCGGTTTTTTTTTCCCTCCTTCTTATTCCCCTGACTTTTCTCCCCTACCCTCCGTTCCTCACTAAAAGTTTTTTCAGTAATTTCTTTCTTTTTCGGACAGTCGACAAAGTAAACGTAACATCAAGTCCAGACTTAGACAACCGAAAAAATAAGAAAGCAGTTGAAATCTACCTCCAAATTCAAACTAAGTACGAATTACTGATTTAATGTCCCAGTTACGCACATGTTCAAAAATACAAAATTGTTTGATAAAATATAGTCCACAGGAGTATGTAACACATATAAAAGTCAAATAACAGGACAAATACTTGACTGACTTCCACCTAACATCCGTTTTGTCTTTTTTGTACCCACAACACACGTACACACCGTAGACTGTGGGGGGTGATTTTCTGCTTACCAGTGTCCGCGGTTGAAAAAGGAGAGGAGTACAGGTACTGCAGACAGGTAAGCCGTACCGGGCGGGGGGCGCTCGGAAGGACCGTCGACTCGCCGGCCCCGAATGGAGTCCACCTACTTCCGAGACTTATACTGCCAGGACCTCTCTATCCACCCGGAGTCTCGTCGGGTCTACGATTTAGACAGGCCATGAGAGACCAGATCAAACCGACCAAGCCCAACAGATCGTACCGACCGACCGTCCCGACCACACACACACACACACACACACACACACACACACACACACACACACACACACACACACACACACACACACACACACACACACACACACACACACCTTTCTTTGTCCATACTAATGGCTGTGAATGAGTGTGAAAGAATTATGGTTGCACCCTCTTTCACATTAGCAGCTTTCTATGAGAAAAGGTAGATGTCATATTTCCGGATTGTGGAAGCATTGAGGATTAACAATAGCTTCAAAAGCTCCATTCAATGTTTATTTTCCTCTTTTCATTTGAAAAAAGACGGGAAGCGTTTTACCTCCCCTCCATCTTGTCAAAGAGCTTAAATCTGAGGGCGAACAAAGCTAATTCAAGAAAGCTAATTCAATGGTACACGGTACAACCAATTGTCTTTTTAAAGTTTTAAGCTGTTGCTGTCATTTAATCCTAATTCATGTTTGATAATTCCTGAAAAAATGTGATCAGAACAAAGCAACAATTCAAAGAATCAAAAAGCAAAAATGACTAATTTCATGCACATTTCTAAATCAGAAACCTTTTTGGTATCATGTCAAAAGCTATAGATCAAAGAAGAAAGTGAATAGTTTGTACCTGTGCTCTCTGCTACATTTGCATTTTTTTCTGGTTCTGAAGTCTTCACAATCAATGTGAGACTGCTGTCTGTTAACACATCCATTAATACGGCTCAACGCTTCACCTCCTACGCATCATTTTGACTGTCCCACCTGTTGAAAGAGAGAGCCGGAGAGAAACAAAGAAGACGGAGAGAAATAAAAAAGAGATGTGAGAAGGGAAAGCGATCATTAAAAGGGTCACTGCCATGTGTCTAATGCAGAATAACATCAATAGCACTACATTAGATTTCATAAACAACAAAGTCAGACCCACACAAAGTTAGTTATTGAAAAGAAGCTTCAAAAAAAGACAGAGACATCAAAGGGGCCCTTGGGGGGCACCAAACAATCACTCCTTTCTTTTCTCTGTCACAGAATCATGTCTAAGATTAATCTAAACTTTACCAACCAATAAAGTACACCAAGAGTCACAGCGGAGATCTCTATGGCAACTGTATGCCATGGAATCCTATTTTAGGCTTCATTTAACATTTATAGCAGAGTCGTTAACCTATGCGAACCTTACACAGGCGGCTCTGAGCCTATTTGTTTATTGTAATTAGCTGAACCCCAACTTTCTGTGTGCATCTGCATCAAGAAAACCAAGAAAGGACAGATTAAAGAGATGTGACTGGGGCGGAGACAGCAAACTGTGAACACTGACAATACTTTCTACTGTGGCAAGTGACGGTGAGGGGGCGGGGATGATTGAGTATGTGCGTAGTTGCAGGATGCAGTGCACTGAGTACAATACAAAACAATACGTTAAGGTAGAGAAGAGAAGAGAAGTGGAAGAAGTTTGTCAGCCTCCAACAATTGGGTGGGGTGCAACAGAGAAGAAATGGCATATTAACCTTGAGTGATTCCTGAAAGAATAATGATGATACAAGACTCTGGGCCAGTATATGATGAACATTTGATGTTGTGGCCTCCTGCCTGTTTATATTGTTTTCTTTGCTCAGCTCCTGCAGTCCTACTCTAGAGGAGTGCTGCTGCAGGATGACAAATGAGCCAGGGGAGGGGATCTAATAACACGATCTCCTTGTGGTGTGAAAACGGCGGCTGGGAGATTAAGACAGACGGCAGACAATAAGACAAAGGTATAGTGTGCAGCTGACTACAAACAACTGTCATCTCTTTTATCCTAAATGTCATTAGCTGTTCACTGACCTAAGCAGGGAGAGCTACCTGAAGGGAAACCCTGCTTCAGCTGACAGTCGCAAACACACCGGCTCAGTGGGTAATTACCTCGTGAGCCATCACATCTGCTCATGTGTGTAGCAGGTACAAGGACCCTGTTGGCAGACCCAGCCAGAACCTGTTCCCCTCCTCATAGAGGGGCGCCATTATCCGTGTTCAGGAGAAGCTATATGTAACGGCCTGAGGCAATTTAACAGAAAAATAGCAAACTAAATGACAGTTACTAATTAAAATGTTAGGGATTTTAAAAGGGTTACATCCAGTTATATTATCTTCAGTAAAA